GGGGATGGGGGGGTCGCCCAAACTCAGCAGGAGATTATCAGTCGCGTGGCCTCGGTGCAAATATTTATCCCTGGAAAATGGAGTGCTTTTCCTCCTCCCCTGTCGCCCGTGTGTGTGTGTGCAAGAGTGTGCGTGCGCGGAACGAGCGCGTGTTCCGGTTCGAGCCCAACTCCCATTAGCGCCACCCTATGGAGTAGTGGTCGCTGGGCGCGCGGAGCCGGAAATGAGTGACTGACCCTGACCTTTTGTTTGTTGCAGCCATGGAGGCCAAGGCGGCGGCCGCGATCAGCGCCACCAAGCAGCGCGGCAAGGACGAGCCGCCCCCGGGGCTGGCCAGCCGAGGGGCGGCTGCCGGCGCTGGGGGCGGCGTAGCGGGTTCTGCCACCGGGGGCGGCGGCCTGTCTGGACGCACCCCGGACGAGGAGGACGAGGGCGACGACGAGTTTGACGAGAACGACCTCATCTCGGGCGTCAACTACAACACCATCACGTCGCTCGCCGCCCTCAAGGAGATCCTCGGCGCGAGCGGCCAGGACAGCGCCGACACGGTGTGGTTCCAGCACTACTTCCTGAACCACGTGACGCGCCTGCCGTCTCGGTCGCAGTACCCCGAGTGGAGGCGGCTGTCGGAGTGCCCCGAGGAGGACGAGGACGAGTCCGCGCCCGCTACTAGGTGAGGCGCTATTGATGGTTTATAGCTTTACTTAATAGCTTACTAGCTGGCTAACTAGTTAGCCCAGGACCCAGAGGGTTGTCTAAATTGTCGCACCGGTTACTGAATCGAAAAACAAAATTACGAATCGTGTAAGGACTGACCTTAAACGCCAGTTATTTTAATGCCGACTAGCTTTGCTTAGCTTATATGTTTTCCTTCACTCTGCTTGTGCTTGAAAAACAATCTCGTTGCTGCCGAATGTCACTCCTTTCCTGACTAAAGCCGCGAAAAGATTACAGCCCACTCGACGGTGTGGAGGCCGTTGTCTGACGCCGTCCATTCTGCCCCCAGCGCGCAGCCGCCGCCCGCGCCCGTGACGAAGCAGCAGCCGCCGCGGACGCTCGTCCCGGAGGCCTCGGCGTCCACCCCGTCGTCGTCTACGTCGCGGGCGCCGCCCACGCTGGCGCAACTGTTCGAGCCGCTGTCCCCGCGCGGGGTGGCCCCCGGCTCCTCCAGGACGTCGCCGTCGCCGCTGCAGTCGCCCCACCTGGACAAGCGCTTCTTCGACCAGTCGCTCATCGAGATGAAGTCGCAGGCGTCGTCCTCTTCCACCCTGGACTACGACTCGACGGACGAGCTGTGGGTGCGGCGCACGGACCTGGGCGTCAAAAAGAAGGTGAGCAACCTGCTTTGCTGTTGGCGTGGCGCCGCCGTGTTGCACCGGACACGTCCTCCTGTTAGGGCCGGCCGCTGACGTGGACGCAGCCGATCGATGGCCCCCGTCCGGAACAAAAGGCTCCGTCCTGCGCTGCTGTCCGCGGAGAGGGGTATAGAGAGATAGAGGGCGAGAGCCTGCCGACGCGGCCGATCCACCCGGCGAGGGTCGTGGGTCGTGGAAGGGGGTGTGATGGACGGCAGCCTGGCGCAGCCCTGCAGATTGCCCCCCTCACCCCCTCCCCGCCCTCTCCACCCCGTCTCTACATTCTTTCT